ACGCCATTACCTTGTGCAGGACCTGGTGGCTTTCTCCCTCTGATGCCATGTCTGTGAGCTCTGGGGACGGCCATCACACTCCTCAGTGACACAGCTGTGCAGGCACACAGGCCTGCATGGCAGCCTGTGGTGGGTAGAAATGGGTGTAGGGACAGTGCAGGGCTGCTTCTGAGTGCTGGGCATTGCTCGGGAAACCGAGGTAACGCCAAGCATGGACAGGGCAACAGTGCTAGGTGAAGTGCCTCCGAGGGGTTAACAGCAGCGTTCAGACAGGAGACACAGAGGTTCCTCAGGGAGCGCAGCGCAGCTCATGCTCAGCTGCGGCATTTCGGCGGGAAGCGCTGAGGAACCTCAGAGCGGGGCGCTGCAGCACCGTTTTGGCGGGAAGCGCTGAGGTACCTCAGAGCGGGGCGCTGCAGCACCGTGTTGGTGGGGTAGATGTTCAGTTTATAGTATGGTTTATCTGCCATTTTCTCTTTGCATGCAAAAAAATAGGAGAGAAAAAGACAAATAAGCAGTGCACCGCAAGAAAAAGATTTTAAGAAAGCAAATAGAAAGCCCTGAAAGCTCCAAGACAGTGTTCCAGGCATCAGTGCTTGCACAACAGCTTGGGCCTGGGGATCACCCACGAGCAAAACCACCTCTAAATGCTTTATTTATAAGCCTTGGAGATGGATATGAAGGAGGAAATGGAAGTAATAATCCCAAAGTGTTTATGCTTACACAGGTTAGGAGGGGTTAAGGAGCAAGGCAGAGACCACAAAGCATTTGGGGTGGGAGAGAAGGGGTGGAGACAAGGGCTGCACAGCCCCTTGAAGTGGGTGCTTTGTTCTGCTGTAGCCCAGATGCTCATAAATCTCGACCTGGTGAAGTAAAACATGCATTGGCACAAGATGCTGCTCAATAGGAGACTGCTGCCACACATGTGAAATTGAAGTTGGCTGGACATACCCATGTCATGCTTTTAGAGACTATAGAACTTGGCTCATCCCATCTACAGGCAAACTAAGAAATGATGGTGAGGCAACTAATGGCACAGATGCACTGTTCAAATAGTCTTGTTTCCACTCATTTCATGGGATCGAACCTGAAACTAGTTTGAACGCAGGCTAGTGTCCCTTCCCTTCATTTATGTCAAATGGTCACTGCTTTGCCTGTAGAAGTTTTATTCAGAAAATTGTGAAGGCTTTTTTATATATAGGCTGACTTGTTCCCTGCTTCCCCAGGCCCCCCCCCCCCCCCCTTTTTTTTTTTTCTTTTTTCTTATCCAGCTTGAGAGCTTTCCTGTGCTTCCAGTTACATATGCACACAGCTGAACCTTGGAAGCACAGCCCTGAGCACAAGCTGCTTCTGGTAGCACTCAGGTATGTATTTTGCTGTTTGTGCAGTCCATCTTCTTGGGCGTCAGTGGCACTGGTATCCTTCTAACTCACTGTCTCTCTTCTGAAGTGAGGGAGAGTGGGAGCAAAAAAAAAGAGGAAAGAAGACCAATTCAGTTTTTGGCAGCTTTCCTCTCACAGAAGAACATTCCACATTTTCACATGAAAGGAATTTTTGGCAAACCAGAGCAAAGAGTCAGAATGACAAACACAAACAATTAAAAAAAAAAAAATTGCCACACTCAGTAGTTTTCTGACTGCTGCTAGTGGGTAAGAGGTTGGTTTGTTGCCTAATTGTGAGCTCAGAAAAAGGCAGTTCATCTTTAAGTTTACAGTGCTATTGGCCCAACTACAGAGGATAAAACTTCCCTTAAGCCTTTGCCCAAGGCCTAATGATGCCTCCAAAAATAACAAGTCGCCTTGAGGTTGGAAATTTTGGTTCATAGAGATTTTGTTCATGTTCTGTAAGTGATACACAAATATTCATCCAAGTGGATGGAAAAAGCTTAGAAGCTACATAAAATAGTGAACGAGACCAATCCTGAGATGGAAATAATTTACTTAATTCTTTGCAGTGCTGCTGTCACTTCCAGACATCTGCTGGTGGAGGCTTGACAATTTACTAAGCAGCTTGGGACATGAAACCTTCGCAAAGCAGAGATCACAAAGAGGTCGCTTATTTCTTTACAGTAGAACAGGAAGTGGGTGGGGAAAGGGATGAAAGGAAGAAACAGGCAGCTTGTCCTCTTTCAGCTTCAGGATGAAAGCCTCCATCTAAAAAATCCTGTTAATTTAGTTTTTCCTTAATGAGATATGGTGTCAAAGATGTGCAGTGAGAAACAGTCAGATGTATTCTATGAGTCCTGCTATGTTCATTAGGTAACAGCTTATTTTTATCCAAGAGGTCATCTTTTAATCTTTGGATTTGAAAGGAAAAGCATTCTGGTTGGGATGTTCAGAATCTTATTTTTTAATGGTGGAGTACAGAACTAGAAAAGCAGCAGGAATGGATTTCCTATGTGCTGGGGAGCGATATGCTCCTGCAGGAAACATCAAAAATTTGCCACTCTGACTTGGTTGTGTGCTGAGCTATTTGGTCTCAGGGAGCTGTGTGCAGTGCTGTTTTTGGTCTTCCAGTCTTTGTGTTTTCTAATCCCTCAGTGTTTTTGCAGACTAAGAGAAAGGCCTTGTGCTTTTTCTTTATACTCTGCTGTCTGGTTTCATTTCAAGCATGAAAGTGACATCTAGAAGTTGTGTGTGCTGCAGATGCGATGAGCCTGTTTTCATATAAACCGTGGAAAACCTGTGATGTTAGTATGTACAGAAATAGAACTGAGAAACTGTTATACTAGACTGTTTCTGCTGTCTAATAATTTAAAAAAAATAGAACATTCTATTTACTTCCAATTTGGTCCCTTTTTTTTTTTTTTTGCTGTTGTTATTGCACCACTGAGCTGTACTGCTGCAATTGTTAGCATCACCTTGTCAAGTATTTCAAGTCCCATCTCTTTCTATTAATGACATGGAAAAACATTCCAGGTTTATCTAATCAAGTAGTCTCAAGCAGTGATATTCCACAGGCAGCTGAGACAGGACTGCAAAGAACAGAAACAGCATTTGTTAATGCTGATACAGCTTCAACTGCACTCCTGCCAGCCAAAGTGTGTGCTGACATGTCATTTTGTGGAAGCCCTATGTGCCAAGATTTCCCTGGGGCTCGGGGTGGCAGCCAGACAGGACAACCAACTTGCAGATGGACCTGGGCTTCCTTCAGAAAAATACACGCAGAGCCACACTTGTTGCAGCCACGCTCCAGTAAGGAAATGATCAACCGACACTGCTGGAATCTGTATTGCAAAGAGAAAGGAGAGCCCCTATGCATTTCTCATCCAGCCTCAGCACATCCTACTGACAGCACTTTCAGCACACCGAGCTCCACAGCCAGTATTGCCAAAGTATCCCTGGAGCAGCCTCTCTGTGACCACTTTACCCAGTTAGCAGTGAAATGAGTCCTGCCTGAGACATGAGAGGGTGGGTAACACTTCCCCTTCCCTGTCCTGACCCAATGCACTGCTGCTTTTCTCAGCTAACCTTTTTCCAGCTTGTACAGCTTTGTAAAAAGTGAAAAAGAGTAACACAGAAATGCAAGGAAGCAATGTTTTTTGCTTACAAGTACTTTATCTTTGTAAAAGCTAAAGAAAAGTAGTGTAGAAGCATAGGCATAATGGTACCTGTTCCTCGTGCTTGGCCTATGCGATTCGGCATGCTGGTCACTGTTTCCTTGAGGAAATGCCCTGTCATTCACAGATTCAAATGCACAGCTCAAGACCACGAACAATAGTGGGGGAAGGGACGACTGCTGGCCGTTTTGTAGCAGTTCTCACATGCAGTCTGCTTAGGAAGCCGAGCACTATGTGCTTTATAATGTCAGCTTTCAAAGCAATTTTAATGAGTGTTCTTACATATAGTGATGCTCTCAAGTTCTAGGTATGCTAAGATCAAAGCAATACCGAATGCCTTTAATAATAAACAGAGCCATTTTAGTTTGATATTTTAACCTAACTGCATTTACTGCCTACAGGAAGATCAACAAGTGGGGTTTTTTTCCCCTTAAATCTAATGAACTGTTAGCCTCCTTTATTTGCAGCAGTAGCTATTGACATCCCTGCACGTTATTCCACCAGGAACCAGGAGAGGGTGCTGTTAAATGTGGCTATTATTTCACTTATCCAGAGAACGGAGGTCTATAAAACATGCTTTCTTCCCTCACCATCCAAAACACTTTAGTGTTGGGTACTTTTTAGCTCCTAACTGAAACTGATTTGCCACTCCAAGCAGCCAGGATATGAGGTGAAGCTGTACTGATGAAAAACATCTTCCACTTGTTTATAACAAAGCTTCTACTGCACCATGACCAGAAGTCGCAAAGCACTGTGTGCTTCTATGGTGATACTGTAAAGATACCTCGAGTTGCAGCCTTGCAGTCTAGCAGCCACAATTAAAAGCAAAGGAACACTCTAGGCCCTTGGACGTGAGCTGTGCTAGATTGGAAACAAGAGACCTGCCTGTGGGACAGGATAAAGAACACTATGACACAAACCACTGTTCTGGCATACTAGCAGGATGATATCTCACAAAACATGTTGAATCTGTAAGGCTTGCTGCTCTGTTTTTAGGGTGGGGAAAAAAACAACCAAGATTGTTCTCCTCTCCCTGCACCAGAGACCTAACCGGGTCTGAGCCCAGGTGCAAATGCTCCTCATTTAAGTCCATCTGAACCTTCAGTAAAATACAAGTGGGTTCTGAGTCTTTATCTAAAACTCTCAACATCCAACTTGAAGCAAACATAAAGAAAGACATGTCATAAAAACAAAGAAATAGGAGGTGAAGGTACAAACATATTCTGCTGTTAGAGTGACTTTCTGCTACATGCTGAAACACTTGACCTCAAAATGGAATCCAGTGTCGTCCTCTTGTATCTTTTGAGAAAAAAGCATCCTGCTAGGGACAAGGGAACATCAGCAAGTGTTTAACAGCGAATGAAAGCAGAAAATGGGATAACTATAGAGCTTGAACTGATCTTGGCTCAAACTGCTTTCAAAATAAAACAGCAATCAGTGCACAGGTTTAGTATACTTGTAGAATATTTTAATGTTTAGCAGAGAAACACACATTAAGGAAGAGTTTTAGACGTGTGATCAGGCAGCTTTTTGTGCTTACATCTTCAGCATAAATTCTATGAATAAAAGTAGACCTTTCCTGTCTTTAACCTCTAAATAAAGCAGTAATCAATACTCACAGCATGAGGTTCAACACAAAGTTTACAGTTATTACTGGAACACAGGATTTACTCATAGTGAAGCGTTTTCTTTTGTCTGTGCACTTTGTTATATGTCTCTTTGAGAAATACATATATTTCACAAAGTTGGATCAGTGATTACATCATCAGGAACCAATAACATTCTCCACGTACGTACGTGCTGCAATTGCAGACAGCGCTTGCACTGTTTTTCTCCATTTGTTCTCTCAGTGAGCAATATAGTCCATCTACTCAGTACAAATTTGATTTCTGCAACTCTAGTTGCTGCTTCTTTAACAAAAAAAACCCACAGTGGGACACCACAACTCTTGGAAAGATAGACAATGGGCAACAAACTTTTCAGGGCTGAGGCAAAAGAGAAATACAAAGATTAAGAATTTTGTGGATTTAGGTATATTATCTTTAAAACATCACAGACACTGAAATAAACATCACAAGCATTGAAGTGCTGCTAAAAAAACTCACTTATATTAGGGTAGCTTTTGGCTGGTAGCAGAATAGAGCACCTTTGTGTCTGCTCCCACAAAGCATTTGCTGTTACCAAGCAAATAATACAGTACATGAAAAGTGAACATATTGCAAAGGAAAGAGCTGTTTATGAGCAGTTACATACAAGTATGTTCTCTTGATGCCCTACCATTGTTCATACAACCTCTGGTTTAATTTATTGTTATTATTTTAAAACTTGGTTGTCAAAGACTTTTCTCTGTTAATTGTGCATTTTTAAAATCAATATGATTTAAAATGAATCTCCTGCACATCCCTGTGATGAATGTGGTAAGAATTCATTCTGCACTTTCCCTATGAAGGTCCCCACCCTACATTTTCCTACATCACACAGACTTCTGCCATAATTACTGGGAAGAGACAAATCTTAGCTCCTAAATGTGTTCGAGCAGCCCACTCCCAAGGACTTAATTGCATCAGAAGTTCCATCCCTTGCAGTGGAAGGGGTTAAGAGTTCACTGTGATAGTCAATTTTCAAAAGAGGTGATCCTGAGATTACAAACAGTTGGCAAGTCCAGAACTGGACAGTTGCAGTTCCTAAGCTGCATTAAAACAAAGGATGCACATACTCACTTCATTCCTATTCAGCAGAACATTGAAATACAACAGAAGTATGAGAACAGACAACACTGAAAGTGCCCGAAGCAAGAGTATGACTTCACTTTTAAATCCTCTGGGAGCATAAAAGGTAATTTTTATGCAATTTTCATCTTAAAACGTGCATATAGGGGGAGTTCTATCATTTCCTTTTTAAAATTTAATTTCCTAAGAATGAACAGGCTGTTTAGCTCTGAGAGAAGAATCAGAAGTTCCATTCCTGCTCTAAAATATGAGACAAACCCCCAGAAACCATTTTCTCTACACATAACCTTCAAGAATGGAACAGAGTTAAGCGAAGTCATAATCAAGTCCATGAAAAGAATCTGTATCCTCAAAATCTACAGCCCAAACCTAGTTTTAAAAACACTGATAGTGAAAGCAATGTGTGACATTTACGATCTTCCCAAGCAAAAATAACAAAACTATATGAAAACCTAACTGTGCAATCTGACTAGCCAGTACATAAACAGAAGATCAAGACAAGCAGTGCAAAAAATTAGAGTAAATAATGAAAGTGAAACAGAGATAGTCTATACATTTACACTCATAAATACAGCTTGTAGCTATTTCTGCTTTTCCAATTGTAATTGCAATTTCGTAACACTGGCAAGTTGACTTTAGTAGAAAGATTTTAATAAAACCTAGTCAGACTTCGTTGGCTGGCCCTCTGGAGAATGACTGTTGTCACACTGCAGGACTGAGGTGGCCTAGGAAAACACAGCTGCTTTCTAGTACTGGCACCTGATGCTGATGTGACAGACAACTGAGCTGACATGCAGGACGTGCTGAACTGGGCGCATCCGAAGTGGGATCTCAACTGTCAAATTTCCCAATGGCTGTTAGGAGTTTCTCAGAGATTCCATCTATTTAAGAACTTTGGTTCCAAAGGTAGCATAGATTCCATTCTGTGAAGAAGGATTGTCTACAGCAAAAACAGTGTAGGAATTTAAGAAAAACAGAAAAGAAAATCATGACTAGGAAATTGTTATGATTTGTAACTAAAGGCAAAGCAAAGCATCTATCTCTTTGAAAGAAAAAGTGACATTTTAAGAGAGGAGTCAGATTGGATTCTATTGATCCTAACCCTAAAAGATGCTGTCCCTCAATTTTGGTTTCCTATGAACGATTCATCCACAAAATAACTTAAAGCACACTCCTCAACAGTTGCTCCCAACAATGTGGAAAGTAAAAGCCAGGCACAAATAAAAATCGGAAGGCAAACATTTAAAAACAACAACCTCACATGGATGACAAAAGACCCTACATCCTATCTCCCGTTTCTTTGCATCATGATGCTCCACAAAAAAAAAAAAAGACATTGAAAGCTCAACTTATGAAATATTGAATGCAATTCATACTGTGGAGGAATAGCTCAGCCTTTTAGCTAGGAAACAGTCTTTCGATAGGTGCTTGGTTACTTGCTGTCTTGCAAAAACAATTAGTCATTCAAGCAATTAAGAAGGTAAGTATCCTAAAAAGGTTTTGAACTTTTCAAGCCCTAAATGCAACTGCTTATAAACCTAGACTGTTCCTGAGTGTAATGTAATTATTATATTGCCTCTCCTAATGAGATCCATTGTATCATGTGTTGTAAATTCTCGATGCTCTTTTAGCTGCAGTCTGAGCTTCTGATGAATTCTCCTCTTGCTCCTCAGACTTCTTATGGTTTAGGAATATGTCTGACTTTAAGAAGCGGCTGTAGCTGTCGTATTTCATGAGATTGAATATCTGGTGAGAGGAGATAAAAATACAAAAAACAATGACCTCAGTAAAACTCCATTTTAAATTAAAAGGACAGTATATGAATTTACTTTGTTGTTGTTCTGTTAGTAAAGCTAGTACTGCAGTTACTAAAGTCATGACACTGACTGCACGGAACAAACAAGACTGTAGGTTCCACAGTCACTGCTTTGCAATAATGTCTGGATTAGTTTAAGAATCAGATTACAGTTTTCATGACAGCCAACTGAAAACCTATCCAGAGGAATGAAGCAGAGCTGAAGAAAGACAGGTATCTTTTATGGACTGTTCTAACTGCATTAGTCCGTTACACACGCAGAGCACTGAGAGAATTGAAAACCTGCCCATCTTTCTACAGCCAGCATACATCCAGCCTGGAAGCACAGCCTGAAAACAGCTTTTTTCTTTCAGGGCCCAAGTTCAGGCCCATGCATCTGCTTTCTCTTCTATTTGCACCTATTTCAGACAAAAAAGATAGAACTCATTTGGAGTTTTCTAGGAAAAAAAAAAAAGGCTTTGGAGACGAGGATGGAATCTGGTCAGTGTTAAAATTGGCGCTATATTTTGCTTGGTCTTAAAACAACAGGGAAGAAAAAAAGAAAACCTCAAAACTATAACCAAGGCAACAGTGAAGTCTACACTTTGCCTCCCTGAGCCATCATTCATGACTCACTACATTTTATTGTCCCAAAGTAACCAAATTTCCAGGAGGAATTTCTGGATTCTGGCCTGCATGTTTGGATAAATTACGCATGGATAACTGGAGATTTACCTTTACAGGCCTCGTTTCTAGCTGACAGTACAACTGGGTAATACAATTGTTTGAAAGGAAAAATAAATCTCAAACTACATTTTTTATTTTTCCCCCCACATCCTCAAGGAACTTGAACAGACACAGAGACAAGCAAACAGAACTTTACTTTTCCTGTCAGTCCTGGAACGTGCTCCATCCAAAATAAAGGACAAAAAATACTTCACTAACCATGACTTGTTTATCTATTCAAATATTTAAGTTTACATTTCAAACTGTGGGAGTCTTGAAGACTGAAAAATGATCCCAAAACACCTTGATATTGACCTAAATTAATAAAGATAAACGAGGTCGCATTACAATTCCTAGAGCTGGCTCAATTCCATAGATATTTAGCCTAGGGATGGCTAAATATTTATGTTTATCAAATCGCCTTGCAGGAAAAAAAAGTTGTGAGGAAGACACTGTCTGTTAAAATGTCCTAAGTCAGCAAGAGCACTGCAGGATCAAGATCTTCTCTGAATACCCCTAGAACTGGTAAGGCAAATACACAGAACAGATAAGATTTTATAACCACACACATTCAGCAAAAGCTGAATTCTCTGTTTCCTCCCTTGCTGTCATCACCTCTGTAGAGCAGGCACATTTACCCTGCAAGTATTTTGACATCTACGCATTTCTACGAACCACTTCAACACCATTCAGAAGCAACAACTGCCTCCAAGCTGTACATTCAAGGCTACCCTGCTGCAAACAGAAGCAACACCCATTTAAATCACTAGGTCTGCAGGAGAACCGAAGTGCTAGTTACCATCCATGTCAGAAACCAAACGAGCTCCAGATGAAAAGTCAGAGCTTCTACATTCTGGCTTTTTATACTTCATACACTGCCTGTAGTAGTTGACAGTAGTTCTTTAGAGATCACATTTTACGTGTGTTCATACATATATATGTGTATATATTTATACACACACATAACTTCACAGGAATCAAAAACAAGAGAATAACATAACTCTTCCTGAACTGTCATCTAACAGCAAAAACCAGAAGCTTCATGCACTGGAAACCTGCAACAGCCCAAGTGTTCTGCATTCTGGTTTTCACATTTCCCACACTAGTGGGGCTCTTCTATCACTGGGCTAGCATATTTTCAGTCCTGAGCTGACTAACCCCTGGCTGCTGACACGCACACTCATTTGTAAAGCTGGAAAACATTCTAACTCCGGTAGCCTGTCCAGCCACACTCATAATCATGTAATCACTTAGCCTGGTCTGCAGTGCTTAGACTTGCCAGAGTACTATCTCTCCCTTTTCCCAAGTCAGAAGTTCTTCTATGAAAAATGTTGCTTTTTTATGTAGAAATTGAGCTGCAGACATTTCCACTGCTAATGACTAGGAATCTGCCTGGAAAACAGCAGCCTTTGATCCTCCCTCACTTCTACTTCGGTCCTCCTCCTCGGTCAGTCGATCACTTTAGTGACGGAGGCAGCGCCCTGCTAACACCATCAGTGCCCAATGTTGAAATCAGGGTACCGTTTCTCCACAAAAAAACCCCAAAAAGTAACAAAGAACCAAATGGAACATCAGGTAGTCCTGATGCTACAGTAATTAAAAATAGTGCAAGTGCTGGAAAGCTGCAGATAAGAACAACTCACTTCACAACCTGTGATTTAAAGTAAGCTAACAACTAAGAAAATTTACCACCTGCAATACAATACAATTTCTACCAGACCTCCCAAGTTCTGTAGGAAAATACAAAGCAGATGCCAACTCCTCTTCTAAGCTTTGTGTGTTTCAGAAGAGGAGGCTTTTCAGAAAATTTCATTATATTCACATCAATATAAATACCAAAACAAAGCAAAGAGAAGAATCTTGAGCTCTCAAGGAAACCAGTGGCAACTACAGAAACAAACATCAGCTGTGACTCAGCACAAGAGAATACACAGGAAAACACAGGCACAAAGTCACTGGGTGATTCTCAAGCTACCAGCAGAAGAACCCAGGAACGAACTTCATCCACTTTTCCAGGAAAGTCCTGAATGCAATTCACATGGCTGCACTGAGTCTCCTTGCCAACGGACCCTACCAAGACCTGAGGCACGCTGTCTGTGTTGGCAACTCTACAAAGGAAGGGAATCAATTCCATGCCTACTGATTTTCGTTTCAACCTAGGAGCCAAATTGCTAATTCAATCCATGTCACTGGTGGCAGCAGTAGGCAGAATCCTAACTTTCCTATATCAAATTGTGATTAAAGCAGCGTCCATTAAAAGCAGACAATAGCTAAGGCATATGCAAGTAGAAGAAATCTTTACCTGATCCTGCAGCTTCTGAAACATTAGAGGATGAGGTGTCTCCAAAATTGTCTCATTCAAACGCGACTGCCCTTCAACATTGACCTGGGAGGAAGCTTTACTTGACAGGAAAGTCATGTATATTTCTTTTGCTTTCTCTCGCATCTGCAAAAGGACACATTTATTTAAAGAATTATTAACTATGGAAATATTCACCATATTTGTTAAACTTTTATGGCGTACTCTACCTTACTTATTGAGATTCACATCTTAAAAACAAAACAGCCTGAGTTCAGAAGGAAACGAAACAAAAGTACATACCTATTTGTACTGGAGAAAAACCTCTCTGCATTGCCAACTCCTGCCCTGACACTAGTGGAAGGTGGAGGTATTCAGCACTTAAGTTAAACAGCAGCTGTGATGTTGAAATCTGGCTAAAATCGTGTTAATCAGTGTAAAATTGCACATAATTACCAATGAGGCCCTGTCTTCAGTACTTAAAAAAATATTTTTATTAGCAGATAATTGGAATGTGCAAAAACCTGGAGGGAAAAACAGTACTGTGGAAACTTACTCTCACTGCTAGGCAAAACTAAGCAAATTAGTACATAATGCATGCTGCTTCTAGATAACCTTGTAATGCAGCTTACATGCATTGCCATAACTGTGTTTTTACCTCAGGGCAGTTCACATGCAACACAGTGTACAAGATCAAAAGAAACACAACTATTTTTTGGCCAATGGTAAAGAGAAGACTCCTAAGAGGCCCTGAAAGCTGATAAATACGGGTAGGTGTTACTTGCATAAAGCAGTCTGCCCTGATTTCAGCGGTCTTCTCTTGCTAAATCAGTAACTGATAACATTTTGACCATAACTACCATTATCCCTAAGGTTCAAAGCAATCTACAAGTTGCCAAAATCCTTTGAAATTAAATGCAAGCCCATCAGATAAGAGAAAGCCAGGAAGAATACTGCCAAATAAGCCTTGCTGCAGCATTCTGAGTTCTGCATGCTGAAAGCAAAGCCTGCTGAACAGCAGGTGCAGTACGATAATTAGCAGTAGGTACCTATCAGTAATCCCCATTACATTTAACACGCGACTGTCTCTAGACAGCAGGAAGTAAAGGTCTATCTTTGGCAGGAAGTGAGCTTGAAGAAGGAAGCGCTTAAGCCCTTGCCCACGAACAAGTCGTGGAATTTCTTTAATGTTTTACAGCTGAGAATCAACATTTGGTGATAATTAGAAGAAAAGCAACACGTGTTTGACAATTTGTAATGCTTAAGAGTTAACTCTCTTTCTGCTGAAAACGGACACATTTTCCAGGACTCCTTCTTAGAACAGATTGTTCACCTGGTGAATGCATTATTTTATCTCAGGTGCACTAGGTCACAATTAATTGCTTCATAAAAGTCCTTGATCTTGTCAGTTTCACAGATCAGGGGACACTGGGTAAACCAGGTCTGTTCTAAATGAGCAATTAATAGATCAGAAGTGTGGCCTCTTTAACTTCAGCTAGGTGGGCACCACAGAGAAAGAGCAAAGAAAGGCCTGAAGAGAAACGTGAGAGAAAAGAGAAGTACTGTGAGGAAGTTAGAGAACATGGGGGGAACAAGGAGACTGCGTGGGAGGTTGGTGAAATGGGGTGGATTTCTGGATCTTGTGAGGAAGAGTGACAAACGAAGGAAGTGAAAGCACTGTGGTGGAGGGGACTGATGTCACTGGAGAGGCACGGGAGAGCTGACATTACAGTACTGCAGAAACATGGTAGTACACAACTGAGCTCTACAGGTTCTGCTTCCCATGGAACAACTGTTAAGCTACATCTATGTTCCAGCAGTCAAGCAAAGTCAGTTTAACAAAGACTAGAAAAATAAATGAATTTACAGTTAAAGCTGCCAGTAGGTTTCTACATCCCCCAAATGACACTCAGGGAAAGCCAGGTTCAAGCAGAGGAGAAAGCGATGTTACCAGTTCAATGGGTGGAATTCTTTGTTCTGCATTAGCCTGAAATTAATGCCTCCACACAGAGGACTTTACTCTGAATTATAAACACTTAGGCTGGGACCTTCCTCACAGGTGGCTATTAAGGCATTCTGGCAGTTCCCACTTAAAACCGTGTGCTTGCCCCAGCATCCATGCCAGGACCCATTTGGAAAACAAAGTACTGTCTACAGAAACCCCCTTCAATATCCAAATGGATGCGACGTTATTTCCCACTTCCTTTCTCAAGGTCAAATTCAGCCCTCAAGCACATGCGGTTCCCAAATGAGGTGGATGGAAGTCCCAGACCTCGTCAGAACAGACTCCAGCCATTAGCAGCTGTGTAGTGTGACCCAGTCCTGTGTAACTGCTGCCACATTCCACACAAGTAGCAGCAGAAGGAACTGCTGGATATGAATAGAATCGTAGAAACATTTAGGTTGGAAAAGACCTTCAACATCATAAAGTCCAACATTCGTATTTGTTCTGATGGCCTCCACAAAACTTCTTGATGTATTTAGGTGAATTTCTGCAATATTTGAAAAGATTCATTATAGGAAATGTAATTTTTAAAGCCCAGTTGCAAGAGAAGAAAAGTAGTGCAGTGGACATGTTTTTTGTTTTGTTAACAATCACAAATGCAACAAGCACGTGACTAACTCAAATAAAATATTTAAACATCCTTCATTTATTGCCACCACTTCTGTTTCAATAATTAAACGTGTCCTAAAATGAGGATCATATTGGTGGCAGCAGAGCTTGCTATTTACAAGTAAACTTGGCATAATTCCTCCCCAGTCTTCACTAAAATTTACATTTCCATTTTAACTGAAGAAAACAAAAAGTTTTTTTTCTTTTCCCTGTGAATTACAGAGATATTTCCTGAGCTGAGAGTAACAGTTTGTGCTTCCACACTACAGCAGGCTGAATGCAGTTCACCCAAAGACTTGCCTAGGCAAGTACTGCTGCCTGGCTGCAGATAATGAAAATCTCCCCTGAACTCTGAAATATGCATGCATTTTGTATTAGCTCGCCAGAACGGGAAAACCAACATGGAATGGTATGGTCTGACCCCCACTCCCACCTTCTTCTGTGTTCCTATCACTAGTCTAGAGCCAATACAACAGTCAAGAGCCAAGCTACTCCTTGCCAGCACTCCCTCTGGTTCCCTGTCAAGCAATCCTGGCTGCACCATGGCTCACATTCACTCTCACTCTCTGAGCCCAGCACCTCACTGGGACACAGCCTGTGCAAATCCAAAGTGCATAGCAGGGACAGCAAGAGCACGAGGCACAACAGATTATTAATGCACTGATCTTTGTGCAAGTTCCAGCTGACCAAGAAAAAAAAACATGTTCTTGTCAAGTAATGCAGGGTTTATTTTATGCTTCAAAAATAGAACCGATTTAATCCAGGTTAAACTGAAATCTGCTTCATCTGACCAAAATCTGAGCTTACGTGAGCTAGCTTCTGCGGTAAGCCACTTCTAATGAGAAGCAGGTTATAAAAATAGGTGAGTTGTTTTCAGAATACTTAGCCCTCATAAGATAGATACAAAGCAATTTCTGCAAGTCACTTTCAGAAATGCATTCAAGCTTACTGCTCTCATAAGCAGTGCTAAGATTTGTACTTATAGTGCTCTTTCTAGCCATGTAAGTTATCTAATCATTGCCACCTGTAAACAACAGCTACAAAAACTTCTTGCAAGTCTGTGTCATTCCAAAGCACATTTATTACGCCTGCTTGTAACAGTTTTGCCATACCAGACTCCAGTCATTATTTGCTGTACACTGCAATGATTGGTACTGAATAATTAAGCTGAATGGAAAGGAACCAAGTCTCTGCCCATTCATTTGACAATGCATTCAAGTACTTGCTAAGCTACTATCTGCATATGGCAGTTTACCATTTCCTATACTGGCATCTACGATCCTGTAGTAGCTGAAAAGATGGAAACGATTTAGCAAGGGAAAATACTATTACAATCCACTTGCAAAATGTGGAACCTTACAAGAGGATCTTCCATTTTCATTTTAAAATCCACTCTGACAGCTTCTTACCCCTTGGCAAGGACATTGTGTGATGTACAAAAAATAAAAGCCAATAAAAATCTGCCCTGATTAAAAAAAAAAAAAGATAATAAAAAAAATCTCCAAAACCTTTTTAGAAACAAAACATGGAACGTATCTTAGGCCTGACCCTCCAGGCTTCAAAGCAGAACTGAAAGCAGAATCTGTGCTCCTGCTGGAACTAATGTACGCAGAGACCCTCGCAGTGGAAAAAAGTGACTGCAGTGGACAGTTAAAACATCTCCAATGTAACATTTGTTACTAGAAAACTACAGCTTTCACTAAAATGTAAATGTTCTGTGGTCGTATGTCCCTGCGAGTAAATATTTAAACAAATTCTAAATGGTTCTTCACTTCCTTTTGCTTTGGTAATTTGAGAAAGCATTCCATTTTGGTATTGTAAAACAGTTTGTGCTCTTTCTTGTTTTTACATTTCTGTATTAAGAGTAGTGTTGTATATTTTCATGTAACAGCCATCAAGCTTTACAACGTTGTAAATTAGACATCTTTGAGCATGATGCAGTGTTACTGAATTCAACCTCTTGCTATTCCAAAGCAACAATGAAATGTTCAGTTTTCCTAACGGGAAACTTGACAACTTCAGCATTTTGTTTCCATTTGAAATAAAACCAACTTTGTTTCCAAACAATTCCAGCAGGACAATTTCAGAGCCATTCCTTCAAATACGTGTATCTGCACTCGTAAGAAGCACGTTCAGCAACCTCCATCTCTGCTACAGAGCCCTTGCAGATGAGTAGAATTTATTTAGGAAGCATACCTGTTTTTTTCCCTGTGTTTTCTTAAATTCTTCACACGCTAACCAGAACAAAACATTTTCTTCGCTGAATTCTTTCTTTAAGAACTCCTAGGGAAAAAGAAAAGTCAACAGATGTTAGAACCCAATTCCTCCATTGTTTTTCTCTCTTCCTGTTACAGCTATTCAAACAAGATGCTGCTTGTGGCTGGTTTTATCATGGCACGAGTTTCCGTGACACTGGGTAACAAAACCACTGCGCAGTGCATCAAACCACCAACAAACAGCATTTTCAGCTCTTTAAAAGCACATTCCAGGAGAAGCTCTGCCTCAGAGCTTATCAGTAACTCACAGGAAGGCTTCCTCCATCTTCCTTAAGTAACATGAGTAATTTTTTAGTAAAAGGAAATCTGAAAATGTATAAATTCATTAGCAGGTGAGTACAGTGATCTATTTTAACGAGAGCAACAGCTCACTTGAGATTCCTGTTCTGTCTGTGTCTGATTTACTAATGAGTAAAATCTCTAGAAACAGTGGTTTCCAAATATGAAAACCAGAGGCAATAAATTTACTTAAGCAACTAAAGCAGAAGATGTATTTGCAGTCTCTAAACAGTGTTTAGACAAAGCACATCCCCCAAAAGCACAGCATATTTTAAAATCAGAGGGGAAAAGTGCATTAAATTAATATATAAAAAGCAGCCACTGAAATATTTATGGCTCCAAGACTTCCAGTTTTCAGAGTTAGAAAATAGAGATTAAGCAATGCGAAAAACTGAACGGCGCTGAGAAATTTTTATAAGAATTCTAAATCACAGTAATTGCAGTGCTTCGTAATTCTGCTTTACACTGCTTTTCAAACCAGTGTGAGATGAAATAATTTCATCCCGGGCTTTTTATCAGTGCTCGGTCCAGCAAAGCCATACTTGACCGCTGGTCCTTATTCACACAGCTGATCCCCCTGACTTTGGCAAAAAAGCCACATTAAGGCTGCATTCCAAGCTGCACGAGCCCCAGTCTGTAGCCAAATTAAAGGGATTTTTTTTATTCAGTACAGCTGCTGCTGCACACAGTCAGAGCTCCACAGAGCAGTCAGGCTCAGGGACAGTTTGTAGCTGCTTAAGTAAGGGCAACACACTGGAACGGAGTGTGGGACTGGTCCTCAGTAACTAACAGTGCTTGGCAAGAGAGATCAATTGCTCCAGGGTTGTGGTTTATCTATCAGTAACTTGTTAATCTGTGCAGTAGCTGACTGATCCAATTAGAAAGATGCGACCAAACATCTTCTGTACACCTCACAGGAGCAAGCAATTCACCACAGCAGCAGCTCAGCAAATGCCACAGCTGTACCTGTGCCCCCTGCTCAGGGGATGTAATGACAAGGCTGCAAGCTGTACCTACAGCACTGCACATCTGCACCGTTTGCGTTGAGGCCCATTCCTCTTTAAATCCTAATGTTAGTGTATGTAAATATTCATAGGTAATATAGCAACCCTGAATCGTTTAACTCCTTCTGGATCTTCAAGGAGGTTCTCCAGTGATGTAGCCCATTCTGAGGTTCCTTTCAAGCTCTGGCGGCTGCTGCTTGGGTGACCCTCGCTGTCATTTATCTCTGGAAAAATGGAGAAAAGCACCATCTTTGTTAGAGGTGATTAATACCATCTTTGTTAGAGGTGATTAATACCATCTTTGTTAGAGGTGATTAATACCACAGGCATTTCTTCCCCGCTCCCCTGTGCGCCTTCGGATTACAGCTGCTCTCTTTAAAGAAAACACCATAAAACTGAAAATAAACACACGCACGTATTGGAACTCTTCTTTGCATCTGAAGAGGGAAAAAGGTCTCGCAGCCAGATGATTCATGAGCACATCGGTGGGCACCCTCACTGCTTTGGAGGGCTCAAGCACCTTTTGCACGCGGAACACAATGACCGCAGTCTGGCCAGCAAAAGCATCGCGTGCCTTGTTCCGCAGGCACTGACATCGGCCGTACAATCAAATCCTGGTCAGCCACACGCATTAAATTTATTTTTAAGAAAAGAATCACTGCAAGGGAATGGCAAGAAACAAAATGAGAAAGAAACACAATGCTTTGTTGAGAGAACAAGTCTAACACGTTAACTTACTCTAATGGGAGGAAAGACAGCTGACAGAAGAGCTTCATTCCAGCTGAGTCAACCTGCACGTGGGCACGTAGCAGCTGGGTGGCTGCTCTGTTTGCTTCTTTCTTTTCAAGTCCCCTGAAATTCTGTTTTTTTAAGGTGAGCTGGGCTGAACCCACAACTTCTCCGTCAGCCAGGCAGCACCCAGCCAGGGCAGACGGCACGCACTTCTGCATATTTCTATCCCAGGGATAGAAAGTACATCACATTCAAGGCTGGCGATGCCAAAAAGTTGCTTGCTGGCTACGCATCAGAAGACCTATTACTTGGGAAGACTCCAGGAATTTTACTGCTGATCTGAAAAACTCTAAAATACACACAAAGAGCTTGGCCTTCTTTCCTCTTACACTCGCAGTGTCTGTGGAAGGCAGCAGAAGTGCAGGCCACGAGGAATCAGTCACTATTTGGGATTCTCACACACCAAACAGATGCATAAAGCTCCGACGGTAATCAGTACAGCTGCCATTTGTTTTCATCACCCCTTTATTTCTTCCTACCAGCTTACTGGAAATAAAGATCTTAGTAACTTCTGCTTATGTTCTCTTAAAAACCCTCCCTCCCCCCTGAAACGAAACCTCATCAAGTATCTCCAAGAGCTATCTATGCAGAGCTATACTATCAGATGTCCTTTTCAGCTGGTAGCTATGCTTAAAACCCTACAGAATACTGGCAGTTCAGCAAAGCCATACTGAGACCTGGAGAATCTCTTCCTAACTGTGAGAAGGACCACTGTTTTCAGTGAACTAAAATCTCCCATTTCCACTCGATAGGATTCCATACGAGAGAAATTACAAAGCTGCAAAAGAGGGAATCTTTCTGAAGGCACAGAGCCTACGTCCCTGCCCCTAACACTGAAATCTACACTCAAACCCCAAGTCAATACATATACATGCATATACAACAACTGAGCTCATGGGCACTGCAAAATAAACATCTCACATGCAGATCTTTGTCAGTCACAGTCTCCTTCTATGATACGCTTACGACTCCGATCAGGAATTTCCTACGTGACTCCAAGTCTCCACGCCTGCATACAAAGGTTCAGGATACAAGCCAAAGAGGCTTATCCTGCAGGTAAGAGCTGAGACAGATCTGCCTCTGAAGCAGCAGGTACCTACAGCCCTGCATAGGAAAAGCAACTGCTCACCCACCCAGAGCCCACTGGCTAACGCTTGGAGACCCTGAGGGTTATCCCTAACCCACCACAGCAGGCTTAGAACACGACACAACGGCACAGTGAATTACCTGCTCCTCAGTTTCACCCTCCCTCAAGCAAAAGCATGTGGTTCTCGATTATCACTTGCAGAATTCATTTTAGGAATGTGACTCGAAGTATCTGTGCATCAGTTGTAAAACCTGTGACATCTCGGTGAGAACAGTGAGGACATTGAGCAGCACACAGCTGGCTCTTCTTACAGTCACTCTCACCTGCAACCAGCATGGCAGCACCGTGCACAGGTGCTGACGGCCTGAAGAACCAGGCCATGCCTTTATTAAATATGTAATTTAGCACGGAATGTGCAGGAGCGGGGTTTTGTTTCTAGTGTTCCCTTTCCAGCCGATATTTAGGCAGCTTTTAATGATGACTAATCCATTGGAAAAACATTTATTCCAATGAGCCAATGCAAAGCAGGGAAGCATGCCATGAGAACCTCAAAACATTTTCTGGTCAGGAGGCTGGAGCAAGTGCTCTCATGCACCCAGGACACCGCTGGCCTGCTTTGCTCTGGCTGCTCTCCCTCTTTTCTCATCTGACCAAGGCAGCTCTCTATTTCCCTCAACCACTCTCACTCCCAGCTCATACAGCACAACCCAACCCCACCCACTTACGTCCCCCCATCATCTTTACCCAAAACCTGTGATCTTCTCCACTTCTCCTACCACCTCCTCCAGCTTTAGCAGAGAAAATTTAGGCTCTGAAAGGAAGGGCCTCCACAACACCCTTTCCACCGAGCTCTCTTCTACAGGATGCTGTTTCTCAGTCTGCCCCCTCACCTAACGAGCTCCGTGCAACCCCAGAGCCCTGCTGTGCTGCTCATGGGCTGCGATCCCTTTGCTCGTTCCCTGTCTGGGGCATCAATGCAGGCAGCTCCTCAGCACAGCGCTCTGTGCAGCCCCAGGGACACGTGCCATCAGCCCACCCCCAGCAGCCCAGCCCAACGCACCGCGGGCAGCCACCAGGCCACAGCACAAGCAGCCCAAGCGCTCCCCTCAGGCTGAGCACCACTGAAAACAGCAACATCCCTTTCCCTTCAGCACAGTCCGAAGCAGGCTGCACATGGCTCGTGACAGGAGGAAACACCTTGAGATGTTTATAAACATATTAGAAGTGCTGGAGATTTTATTACACCCCATCAAATGAAGGTTAGAATACAGAAGCATAGCCCAGTTAGGATCGTTTCCCCGCTCCACGTACGAGTTTCATTTAGAAAATTTAATGCATTATTTCCAAAATTTTTTAAGACTTTAGAGGATGAAGGAAAGGTTTTCCCCACAATAATTGCCACGTTCATAAGGTTTTACTAAATTACCTTAAAAATGATACCTCCTCTGAAGGACAGCTTTTATGCAGATAACTTTCTTCTGTTAACATCGTCTGATGATAACATGACATGATGCACACACAGAATAATGAGCTCAATGCCAATATTTAATATCCCAACAGTACATGTTAGCGCGGCCACTCAGGTGAGGGAGGCTGGCACTGCTGTTACTGAGAACTGGAATGCACGTGATAAACAAATGCACTGACTGCATTCCTTGTTTCTTAATGCCGTAGGAAAACACTCACTGTCTGTTAAACAGATGAGAAACTAAGAAGCAGAAAGCCAGCCAACTACATGAAGAGCACAGCTCAGCCTCCGCCAAAGCAAACTTTGCACCGAGCATCCAGCCATTCTGCTGCGCACAACAGCCAGCTGCTGCACCAACACAGCAAATGATAAAGTGCTTATCTCAACCGCACTGCTAGTTTAGAGAAGAAGCCCACGCTAAGCTAGCAAGCAGGCAGTCAGCCGGACAGCTACGTCAGGGAAGAATCTGACAGAAGCAGTTTTTCCCTATCACACAACAATATTGCCACGTTAAGCTGTGGATAAAGGCTCATTGTAAGGGGCAGATGTAACGCCAAGTGCAGCGCTAACAACACTGCAACTGCCAGTTGAAACAGAGCATCAAAAACGGCCAGCAGCTGCACTCATCAAAAGCAGGCACGAAAATACGCGACTCACGACATGAACTCACAGCTCTGGCCCTGGCTTTCAACAACAAAACACGTGGAAACCCAAACCGCTGGAGATGCGGGGACACAGCTGAGCCGGGGCGCTGCCCTGCACGAGCGCCGCGCGCCGTGCCAGCTTCCGAGCAGCAGCACCACAGCGCGCGGCGCGCACCTGCCTGCTGCAACGGGCCCCGCGGCAGGGCTGCGGGCACACCGCACCACAGAAGCGCCACGAGCACCACGCGTTAGCTGTACAACATGGGGAGAACGCTTCTCAGCGCCTCAGCCTTCCAGAAGAACTCCCGTACGCACCACGCGTGCTTCTCTCCCTTTTCACCGGGATGCTTCACGAAGCTGAGACCTTCGTTACTCGTTAAAACCCCTCTGCACCACGTCTTCTCCTGTGCTCACCGCAGTCCTACCAGCTGCGGCCATCAGTCTGGAATTAATGATCCCAGCTTATGAAACACAGGGCAGCCCGGCCAGGCGCCCGCCGAGGGCGAGCTGCTCCACGAGCCGACTGCGGGCGGGTCCTGCACGGCGCGGCGCGGCGCGGCCCAACGTCCTCTTTCGACAGCCGGATTCCACTTTTAACTATAAGGAAGGAAGCGAAGGGGACGCTCTGCTTTTGGAGCATCTCTGGGAGCGCTCGCCAGGCGCGTCCCTCGGATCACCGCCACGCTGACAAACGCCGCGTTCGGCTTTTCTTGGAAAGACCGCGGCTGCCGCCCGCGCGCCCGCCGTTCCCCGGCAGATCCCCGCTTCGTGCCCTCCAGCCCCGCCGTCCGGCGGCTCGCAGCCCGCCCTCCCCTCGCGGGCTCGCAGCTCTCTACAGGCGGAGCGCCCGAGCCCTCCCGCCCGCGCCGCCTCAGACGAGGTCCCGCTCCGTGCTCGCGAAGCCCCGCTCGGCCCGCGCTCGGCGGGGCCGCCCGCTCTCTCACGGCGCCCACCGGCGGGAAGCGCTCCGGCCCCGCCCGCTCGCGCTTTCCGGGCCCGGGCGCGACGGCCCGCGAGGCTCCGGATCTCTCTCCCCGCTTACCTGACGGCGGGCGCTTCCTGCTGAGGCGGCTCACGGCGCGGTTGAACATCTCTCGGGGCGGCCGCGCGGCCCCGCGCTGCCCGGAGCTGGAGGGCGGCCGCGCCTGCCCCGCCCCGACCGCCGCCTCCTGACGGGCGCCGCGCGCCGCCTCCCGCCCGCGCCGGAGAAGCCCGGGGGCGGCCGCGAGGGGCCCGGCGACGAGCCGCGGCGCCGCCCGTTCTGCCGCTTGCCGCCGCGGAGCTTTGCCGAGCGGGTGTGAGAAACGCGACGCCCCGCGCTGAGCGGCTCACCTGCACGAGCGAGCGGTTTCTCACGGAAAGCGCTTCGCTTCCCCTGCCCCTGCCGTACGCACGGGGACACGGACGCGCTCCCCTCACGACACGCACGGTGCCGTCCGCCGCCCCGCGCCCTGGAAGCGGTGGCAGCAGAGAAGCCAGCGCAGCACCTGCGGGCCGAGCCCCGGGCAGACCGTGCCGGTAAGCATTGCCCGCCTTCTGGCGTGGAGTTAAAGGAAAGAAAAAGCAACCCAACACGTTCGTTTCTTTGGGAGGAGGAAGTGCAGAACAGCTGCACGCAGTATTTTCCAGCAGATGCGTGAAGCCTCAGCCACACAACTCGGGCTGTTCCACAGCTGGGGTTTCTGGGCAGCTGTCAGAACTGCAGGCGGAGCACCTTCCAGCACGCGGCGTGTGCCTAAAGACTGCGGACACCGCCGCAAAGGCCGCTCGGACACAGCCCTTAAGGCAAGTAGGACATTAATGCACGCAGTATCTCCAGGCCCGAGCCGCCAGGCTTTGTTTTAAGCAAGCAGTGCCTCGCTGGCTTAAGTGATGAGGGAATTTTCCTTCCATGTGACTTCGGAAGATTCAGGCACGGCTCACTGGCCGGGGCGTTCTGCAGTTCCTTCGCACGGTCACTTGCAGCTTTGACTCTGACTCAATTCACAGCATTCAGTGCCTACAGGTCAAACTGGTACATTCTGAAGTTCAGACTGCGTACCGCAACACTGCTAGAAGCTCCTCCTTACCTTCACAGGGTGAAGCCAATACAACCCACAGGTCTGACAGCCTCAGGCCACCAACGCACGGCAGTGCCCCCCACCTACAGGCTGGGCCGTACCATCTATATCCTTATATCCTTCAACAAGTCATCACACACATGCCTGAGGAAGTGTGAACCACGAAAACTGACACAGACTGAAAATACATTTAACCATCTGATTCTATTTTATGTTCAGCTTTTAGTTCTGCTTCCAACACTACTCAATGTTCAAACAGAAAAGTTCTCTTCAAACTGAACATAAAAGCTTTCGTGAAAACCTTTTGTTTCTTCCTCCCCTGCTTCGCTCTCCACGTACATCACCTGTCGGCATACTGAGAAACAACAAACCTGGGATTGCTCGTTATCCTAAATGAGGACAGGTTTAAAAATTTGGATAAAGTTCAGCAAATTCCCCGCTGACAATGGTAGGAGCAGGCTAGGGAAAAAAGAAAAGAAGAATGTGCAAGAGACCTAAAAAGGCAGAAACACATTTGAAGAATTATTGCAGGCAAGGAGACTGCAGATTCTATTTTAAAATTTTTCTTGTATCCTGAAGAGCAACCTACAGCCTTCAATTGTAAAAGCTGCTTTTGAAAATCAATGGAAGCGGCTGTGCTTAACTGCTCCCATTACAAAAGTCTATTCTGGGACATAATGCATGTTAGCAACTATGAATAACATCACAGAGAATGTGCAAAACGTTCAGCTTGTTTCAATGCCAAATTCCAGTTGACAGACTCAAAATTAATCAACTACAATTAGAACAGACTATGAGAAATCCAATTCATCTACTTAAAGCCCCGATTTCATTTACACCAACGCAATTAGGCTGCAGTAGAGCTGTACTTCTGATTTACACTACTAAAGAACCGGGCCCCAAACTTAACCTGAAACATTGAAATGAGAGGACTTCCAGGTGGAAAATGCCTGCGCTACACACAAATTATAACCTGATTTTAGATTTTCAAAGGAGGGTTCTAGAGTTCTAGAGATTAGTAAATCCAGCCTGCTATGATGCGACTTCATACATAACAGCAGAAAGTTAAGAGTAAATGCCACACTGAACATTACATTCTGGCCAGAACACACTGGACACTGTAATCAAGAATACATGTATCATGTCAGACTGTTTGGATACATCCGAGGTTCAGGACACAGAACCAGGTCTCAGACTTCGCAAGCACTTATCTCAGTGCTCATGATGGATGGGCAAACACTGCTTTCAAGTTTTTTCTTCCAAATAAGCCAATGGTGAAATGCACAGAGAGCATCTGAACGGAGATGGTTTGTTTTAAATGTAAATATTTTAGCTTCTTGTTTTCATAGTTTAAACACAAAGAAATCAGCATCCAGCTAAATGCTAGAATACACCAGAGCGTGGCTAAACCCACTCCTAGCGAAAGCACCGTGATTCATATGCTAGGATCATATATTCTTCCATTTCAAAACCAAGAATCACTTTCTAGTAAGAATAACATCAACCCAGCAAGTCGTCTTTAGTTTCACACCAAGTTTTGTACATCTTCATTAAATGCATTTGCCATCAGGAGCTCAACAAATTTCAGAGTAAAGGAGCAGACAGTGAAGCATGTTTTTAATACCTTGGTAAGACACACGCAGTGAAAACAAGCACCCTTCTTGTGAGGAACACAGCAAGAACAGGTCTGAAGAGCATTCTGACGGAAAGCATCTCAGTCGTGCCCACATGAATCAGGAGCAAAAAGGGGAATTTGACCAGAATCCTTTATCTTGACCTTGGAAAAAAGCCTGATTCACCACTCTGTTTGTTATGCTTCGTAGAGTAAGGATTACAGCATCGGCTTTTATTCCCCATCCTGTGGAACAACTCCTCAGTACCTCCAGCTCTCACAGCACCACGCACATCAAAGCACACTGCCAAGACCAGCAGCAATGTGTAGGATGGAGGAAGTGTCTTGTGGCTACGTAATGCCAGCAGTGCTTATCCTTGTGTAAGTTACACCTGGACCTCTTCGTAGGTCACACAAACAGCAGCAAACATTTCAAAGCTTGCCATTTAAGTAGGTGATTTTTAATAAGTTTTATGTTCTTTGCATCTGACAGTGAAAAAGCCAAGCATGCCATTAGTGTGCTGTGGATCTGCTTGACAAGAACCTTAGTGACAAACCAATTTTACTTCCTGAATTTCTTCATTTTTTTTCTATTAAAGTACAGGAGAAAGAATTAAGGTGACCAAATTTTATTTGCCTTTAAGTTGAAAAAGCTGTAAAGTATTTTTAATCTCCAGCGTACATCCATGGCTTCAAAACAGCTCTCAGGAAAGAAAGTAGCACCATGCATTAAAATGTGAAATAAAGGAAAACAGTTCTTTGTGATCAATCCTACAGTAATAAAGTATCTGACACGGCAAAACTACATTCATATATTCAACGAGAAATGAATGGAGAAATTAGCATCACAACTTAAAAACATTCCGAGTCCCTCCATATTATACACAATTAGGGCTGACAGTGGGGAGGAACAAAGATATTGGAGACTTTGTGCATTTTATCCGGTCTAGTTCAAACCTGAAGATTAAAGAAAAAAAAAAAAAAGAGAGAGAATTAACATTTTTGAGATCACTCTGTAAATAGCAGAACAAGTATAGGAATGAGAAATCAAGACTTGCAATGCAGGGAAACCACAATCATCTTTCATAGCCAGCATAAGGAACGTTAAGAACGATACCTGCAGTCAGTGCTTCTCTCAGGAGCAGGCCTGGCACAGCCACGATGCCTCGCGCACGTAAGGTGAACACAACTCTGTTGACTAGAAGCACACATAATTAAAAACACAGCAAAGCAGACTGGGTATGAAAAGGAAACGCAGCTTTAACAGCAACTGAACCACAACTCACAACTCAAGCATCCATTCGTATTTTCTAAAATCAGAAATTATGAAACAATGTGTTCCTACAGCTTCCATGACTAAGATTCATTCATTCTTCTGCACTTTAGTAACATAGCGTTTGCCTTCCTTACAGAATCAACCACAGCAACTTAACTTGCAAGATCTTACAGCAAAGGAATTGAAACATCCATTTTCTACACAGTTTCTGCCTGACGCTGCTGTGATCTTGTAAAGCAGACTTCAGAGAACAGCACTGCACACCTCGCCAAATTTCCACACACACATCTTGAGTCTGCTTCTCAAAAGGCCATAAAACAAGAAGATGCTGAACACGATATTCTAACGTAGTTGATGAAAGTACAGCAGAGCAGTCTTAAATCTTAACAACCCAGTAACCAGTAACACAAGCTGATCTGAGCGCAGGTACTGACTGTATCGAAATACATTAGCAAGATGCATGAACTCTTCCTACATTTCTGGAACAAGGCCTTGTTTTGTGCATACTACAAATTTATAGTAATTTGCTGGCTGCTGAAAATGTTCCTGGGAAGGAATTTGAGCGGTTTCCTGGAACTTCCTATTCTTATTCCATGGAATACATAGAATTGCAGCAGGCAATGTTAATCTAGGAACAATAAGCTAGAAATCACTTTAAAAAAAGGCAGTCTGAAACTTGGTAATTAGTCATAAACATTAGACATTTCTCTTACAAAATCATGCCATGCTCTCATGAATGAAAAAAGTGCATATTTGAAATAAGCTACCAGGACAATGGAGGATGCTCAGACTTCTCTGAACATTCACATATGAACAGGTCAGATTCATACACTACAGAACACGAGCTTTGCACTTAAAGCCAGTAGTAATGCTCTGATGTTTCCAGTAGCAATCAATCCTTTATGGTAGCTGTGGCATGCAGTAGTTCCAAGAGGCCAATTCTTTCTTTGAGACCTAGGACACGTAGCATCCTTGTGCTTCCAGATTCAATACACAGAAAAGGTTCTAGAGAGGCATACTTCAAACCTGACAGGTCATTTTAATAACTAAATAACGTTCTCCCCACCCTGTCAGGACCCACACTCAAACTGGAAAACTTGAATGAAGCAATAAATTTGCCAACTGCTCTTTCCCATCATGCTCAATGACTCATCATTAAAAGAAGGAACTCACTTGTGGAATAAAAGATCTCCTTCACTGAATGGGCCAAA